ACCACCATTGCCGCCACTACCATCGCCACCACCGCCATCACCACTGTCGCCACCACCTTTGTTGCTATCGCCGTCATTGCCACCACCATCACAGTCATTGTCACTTACCACAATCATCACCATCTCCTACTATCACCACCATTGTCGCCCACCACCTCTCATACCCACTACAAATCGATGCTTAAATTATTTTATCTCTTTTCTATATTTGTGATTTAATTTTGGATATGAATACAAATATATTTATTATTTACCATTTTTTATTTCTTTGTACCTTCAGACACAGACAATAACCAGTCATTTTATATGACATGTAAGAGTACACATAATAGAGAGGCAGAAGGTTTACATTCCAAGCTAAGATTGTAGAAGGTTATTGGGTTCATAAAATGCATGGGTGACTTGGTTGGACCTTGGACTTAGGTGACAAAATGTGATTAGAAAGCGTATCTTTTTTGGGATGCAAGCCCCCTAAAAGGTTTGATCGTATGATTCATACCAACTCTGAATAGTCCATTAGGATTTTAACTATCTAATGTGACATTGTATTGATATTATTTAATCATTTTTGTAAATAACTATTTTTGTTTGCTATTTTTTTTTACATTACCATATGAAATGACTGTCAAAAAAATAAAGGAGATAAAAAAAAACTTTAACAGGGGATGTTCCTCTCTGCTTTATTCATCAAACAAACACCCTTTATATAGGCTAATACACAATGAATAATAACATGAAAATAGGCACTATTCAACATGCAAAACAAAAAGTGTTGTAGTGTTCTCTAGCCAAAAAAAAAAACATGCAAAACAAACCCCTTTGAACTAGGTAAATCAAAAACAAACTAGTAGAACATCCTAAAGATTGGAACAACCTAGACTAATAGGACAACACATACTTCTAAACCTGCAAATTGTTAATTTACTCATCAATCCCTCCCTTAAAACTAATGTTCCGAACACAACAGTCAGTTTAATAAGGGTCAAACTTTGAAGCACCATCCCTTAAATTGAATGATTTGAAGTGCAAACACCATTGCTCGATTTGTGCATATCATCCTTGTGCAGGAGGCCATGTTAATCTTCTCTGTATCGTTTCAATTTTATCAGATGTCCCCAAAGGGACTTGAAGTGCAAACACCAAGCAACTTCCCCAGCCTCTGAAATGCAGGAAATTTGAGAGATGGTGCTTCAAAGTTTGACCCTTATTAAACTAACTGTTGGGTTCGGAACATCAGTTTAAGGGAGGGATTGTTGAGTAAATTAACAATTTGCAGGTTTAGAAGTATGTGTTGTCCTAGTACTCTCGGTTGTCCCAATCTTTAGGATGTTCTGTTAGCTTGTTCGCCATGAATCCACATTTTATTTGCTATTGCCATCATCTTTGAGAAGTAATTTGAAATCGATTTTTCCCATCTTCAAGCATAAAGTTTCGATATCAATGCGAAGTGCTTGAAACTGTGCTCGTTTTGCCTTTGTTGTTCCCTAATACTTCTTCTTCATAGAGTCCCAACTCTTCTCGGAAGTGTCTTCATAAAGAATGGTTTCCAAGATTGAACGATCAATAGCTTGAAAGAGACAATTTTTTTCTTTGAGATCTTTTAACTTTAACCCTTCAAGCTCTGTCTTTTGAGCATCTATCAGCACAACACTTGTTGTTGGTTCTGCTACTCCAGAATCAACAACTGTCCAATATTCTTTGGACCTCAAGAAGTTCTTCATGAGCATGCTCCAATGGTCATAGTGACCATCAAAGCGTGGAATGGCTAGTTGTACGTAAGTTTCGGAAGTCATCAGTCACACCTTTACTCTCATCAACCTGCTTGCTCTGATACTAGTGTCTAAAAAATAAAGGAGATAAAAAAAAAATTTAATAGGGGATGTACCTCTATTTATTCATCAAACAAACAACCTTTATATATGTTAGTGCACAAGGAATAATAACACAAAAATAGGCATTACTCAATGAGCAAAACAAACTCCTATGGAGTAGGTAAATTAGAAACAAACTAGCAGAACATTCTAAAGATTGAGACAACTCAGAGAACTAGGACAACACGTACTTCTAAACCTGCAAATTGTTAATTTACTCAACAATGAATGTTTGTTAATGCTCAATACTATCAAATTACTTATTTTCAAACCCGTGTATTGAAAATGAGATTTTTCTACTGAACTGTTGATGTCCGCCCTATATTATTTCCTTCTTTTCAAATTAGATTGGACGGAAGTATAAATATTGTGTATAGCCGAATTGTCAGTTCATGTTTACTTAGTGTTTGAACGTCTGTAAAGAGCATGTACATTGTAATAAGATCAAATTTTGTACTTCCATTGTAACAATGACTATGACCGAGTAATGTATGTTATGTATCTTCATGAGGTTTATGGATGTTAGTATGATTGTATGTGGATTTGGACTGCGATAGTAACATGTTTTATCATTCTAGAACTCATAATGTGCTCGTGCGATCGGGGTGTGACAACAAGAAATGAAACTTATCCGTGTTTGTTTAGAAGGAAATGTAGTAGAATATGAAAAAAAAATTAAAAAAAATTCTTGTCCCACAAAATTTTCTACTAAAGAACCCAATATGTTTACCATATAATGTGAAGGGAAATTTGGTTTTTTCTTTGGAAAAGTAGGAGCCATTATCTTACATTCCCTCTTTACTCATTGTTCCCTGCAGATATTATCAACTCAGCAAATTTGATAAGGGTGATTTAGTCATATGTCAAAATTTTGCTCTAACTTCAAGCTTTCCAAACAATAAATTTTAATCTTTTTTATAATTTTTCTTCAAAAAATTTATTCTAAATCAACTACATACAAAAAAAAAAAAATTATTTCACTTTATGTTTTTTACTTTTACTTTTCATCATCCTTTTCTTTCAAACCAAACAAACCTAAAGGTGAAAAACACCAAAAAAAAAAAAAAAGGAGTGGAGGAGACCCTAATGTGTTAACAAATTAATTTAATCATTTAATATTGTTTGGTTAAAAAAGGTTGGATATGATTATGTTATGTCACCATATTTACCAAAAAAACAAAGATGGAAAGAGACGGATGTCGATTTTTTATAATATATTTTATTTTTAATTTTTTAACGGGTCATTTACTATTAATAAATTTTATTTAAATATAGGAAGAATTACACTCAGACTCCTTAAAATTTTTTACTTAATCACTCAGATCCCATAACATTAAAAATATTATACATAGATTTCCTGAAGTTTGTATGCATGTAACACTTAGACCCTTACCGTCAATGTATATTCGTTATTAAATTATACTACAGACTCCTTGAAATTTATAAGCATGTAATATTTAAACCCCTCAAGTTTAAAATATTATATTTAAACTAAAAATACTCAAATCAAAGATAGAATATCAAATATTTTAAATTTTATGACCAAATTTCATGTTCCATTATGTCATTTATTGAAATAAAATAAAAAATTTAAATTTAAATTTTTATTAAAAATTATAATTAGTATACAATTATACTATCTATTAGAATTTAATTTAATAACTTAAACGACTAAATTAAACTACCAAATTACTCTCAATTAAAGATAGAAGATATTATATACATTATAATTTGACTCTTTATTTAATTTTTTTAGTTTTATTTTAATAGATAGTATAATTATATACTAATTATAATTTTTTTAATAAAAATTTGACTTTTATTTTTGATTTCATTTCAATAAATAATACAACAAAACATGAATTTTTGTTGTAAAATTTAAAATATTTGATATTTGATTAGAGTATTTTTGGTATAAGTATAACATTTTAAAATTGAGAGGTTTAAATATTCTATGGCTACAAAATTTAGGGGGTTTAGATATAATTTATTAACGGATATAACTCCAAACATTGACGGCAGATGTATAAATGTTATGCGTGTACAAAATTTAGGGAGTTTATTTATAATTTTTTAAATATTAGAAACTCTGAATGATTAAATAACAAATTTCAAAGAGTTTGAATATAATTCTCTTTTAAATACTCCATTCGTTCCTAAATATCTGTCGTTTTATATAAATTTTTTTGTTCCATAATATCTGTCGTTTTATAAAACTAAAACATAATTAATATTTTTTCTTCCAAATTCACCCTTAACTTTTCAATGCATTAGTTTAAGTGGAGGCTAAGTGTCTTTCATATTTTTTTCATTCCCAATACATATTGAATAAGAGTATTTTAATCTTGTGTAATTATTTTTTACTCATATTACAACTATTTAATAGCTTCCTTAATCCCTGTACAAAAACTTTAAATGACAGATATTTAAGAACGAAAAAGTATATAATAGTGAAAATGTAAGTAAACAAATGGACACAGTTTCAAAAACTAGGAGCTGTTTGGTTATCAATGAGTCTTTTAGTTTAATAGTACTCTTTATTTTATAAAAAATTTATCTTCTTGAAATCAAAGGTTCAAATCCCCTTCCCTCCAAAAAAAAAATAAATATATGAGCTGTTTAGTTTGATCCGGAGAACTGTTTTTTCTTCGCAAATCTTTGATAACAATGAGGTTTTTCGAATGACACGTGTCAATACAAGATTGGGTTACATCTAGGATTTCCTGTGTTCTAAACCAGCATGCTTCTGACCCATTAAAGAATACCAAGAGGGTCTGTTAACGTACAAAAAATTCGCTTTGACGTTCGAAGGGCTTGGCTCCTCCGCATAAAGCCCCATCTGACTCGTCCAATTAATTGGGCCATGTTCTGCCACGTCATCAATGATAAGTAGGAGCCCACTCAAAGTGGGTCCTGTTATTTAATCAAGCGTTCCTTGTAAAGAACACAAACGACCCTACAACGAGCTCGAGTCCATGAAATACAAAACCAGTTAGGATGGTCAGATTCCAAAGTCCCATCATGACAGCTGCTATTTTCGTACACCTCTCTCTCTCTCTCTCCTTCCTTTCACTCTGTATACCCTCACCAATCTCCAGCTGCTATTTTCATACACCACTCTCTCTCTCTCTCTCTCTCTCTCTCTCTCTCCCTCCACTCCTCTCACTCTATATTGCCTCCCCAATCTCTATAGCTGGCTGTGAACATAAGAATGACTGTGGCTTGATCTCAGTCAATGTTACATGCATCAACTGCATCTTCTTGAAATACGGATATAATTGACAGCTTCAATGTCTGAACACCAATCTACGTTCATTAATGATCAGCTCTCAAGGAAAACTTCAATCTTTGGGTTGCACTTGTGGGTCGTTCTGGGTGTCTGTGTTGGAGCTGCCATTGTTCTTATTCTCTTCCTCATCTCTCTGTGGTTCACCTCAAAGCGAAACAACACACACAAACCCAAGCCATCTCATCAACACACCATCCCAAATGTGTCAAGGGACATCCAAGAAATCAGAATCGACCACGCACGTACTGATCATTCAAATGGAAACCATGCCAGAGTCCAACCCAACTCTTGTCTAGAATTGGAACAATTCACTGGGGTTGAGAGACAAGCTCTGCTGTTGAAGCCAGATGAAGAAAACCCAATTGGGTATCCGAGAATTCACATTGAGATTGGAAAGGATCATAGGATTGTCTATCCTGAAAGGTTTGGAGGGTTGTGTTCACATGGGTGTAATGGTGAGACTAGATTAGGTGATCAGGTGGGTATGGCGGTTCCTGAAGTTTCACATTTGGGTTGGGGACACTGGTACACTCTCAGAGAGCTTGAAGCATCCACAAATGGGTTTGCCGACGAGAATGTGATTGGTGAAGGGGGTTATGGAATTGTTTACCATGGTGTGTTACAGGACAACACTCAAATTGCTGTCAAGAACTTACTCAACAATAGGTGCCTTCTTGTTTCTTATATCACATGAATGCAATTCAATTTTATCTTTGTAGTTTTGTTTGCAGGCTATAAGGTGTTATTCATTGGTATCATGTAAAATTGAACATTCTTTTTGCGTATTTTATTGGTGGTAAGCCACATAATTGGTAAAAGAATTTTTCGTATGCGACAGGGGACAAGCTGAGAAGGAGTTTGAAGTTGAAGTTGAAGCAATAGGCCGAGTTAGGCATAAGAATTTAGTGAGGCTGCTAGGCTACTGTGCTGAAGGAGCTCATAGGTACACTTGCTTTTGGCTAATTATCCTGTTTCTTTCACATATTGATTTAAGCCCTCCAAGTGTTTGTGAGAATTGTTCATCTCTGTTTAAAGGCTATATAAATATGACATCTTGAAAGGGGATTACCGTACTAATACGTGTTTTGTTATAGGATTCTTGTTTATGAGTATGTAGATAATGGGAACTTAGAGCAATGGCTTCACGGGGATGTAGGGTCTTGCAGTCCTCTTACTTGGGATATCCGGATGAATATCATTCTGGGAACAGCAAAAGGGTAACGTTATGTTCAATTTTTTTTCTCATTCGCCATTAAAATTACTATATGTGGTGTTGCATTCTTGATCAGAAATTTATTTAGCAATGCAGGTTAGCTTACCTTCATGAGGGACTCGAACCCAAAGTTGTTCACCGCGATATAAAATCAAGCAATATCTTACTTGATAAGCAGTGGAATTCCAAGGTCTCTGATTTTGGACTTGCCAAACTCCTTGGCTCGGAGAGTAGCTACATCACAACCCGTGTGATGGGAACATTTGGGTCTGTCTATCACCTTCTTACAAATCCTTGATCCCATCTTTTTCCTCTCTTTGCGACAGGGTTAGTGATTTTTTTTCCTGCTTTTGCAGCTATGTTGCTCCGGAGTACGCTAGTACGGGTATGTTGAACGAGAGAAGTGATGTATATAGTTTTGGGATTCTCATAATGGAAATCATTTCGGGGAGGAACCCTGTTGATAATAGCCGGCCTTCAGATGAGGTTTGCACTGACATACTAAAATCACTAGCTAATGATAAATAATACATATACACCAAGAAAGAGCTTGCAAGGTTTTGCTACTTCCTCTTCTAGAATGTTGCTTGATTCAAGTCGATCTGTATCAGGTGAACTTAGTTGATTGGCTGAAAAGGATGGTTGCAAATAGAAACCCGGAGGCAATTTTGGATCCCAAGCTATCAGAAAAGCCTTCTACAAGGGCATTGAAGCGGGCTCTTTTAGTAGCTTTACGCTGTGTAGATCCAAATGCACAGAAGCGACCGAAAATGGGGCACGTGGTACATATGCTTGAAGCTGAAGAATCTCCCTTTAGAGATGTGAGTATACTATTCTAAAATTTCAATTTATACCTGCTATAGCATCACAATATTCTTAGGAAGTGTTAAGTTGTATATGTTGAATGGCTCGTATCAGCCTGCGTTATGGAATTTAGATCAACCAAATGAAAAAAACACTTCAAAGTCAAAAATTATTGGAAGTTGCATATTAGACAAAGGATTAGCAAGACTGGTTTAGTCTCCTATTACTTAACAAACTGAGAGATTAGAGCATGGTGAACACTGATGAAAACACCCAACTGGAGTGAGGATTGTAAAAATTTTGGTCCCGGTGGATAAAATCTGACAGCCAATTAACCCTCTCTCTTATGCTTATAGTCTTAAACAATCTTGGGGGAACTTGCTACTTGCTAGCCTCTGTTCTTCCCTCTTTTTCTGGAGCTCAGACGGAACATATAATCACCTTTTAAATAACCAATTGCAAGAAGCATTGGTTAGAGAAATTAAGCTCCAAAGCCTGTTCAATTTTCACTACTGTAGTTAATGATAAGACAACTTTCTTTTCATTATTTATTGCAAGATGCTAGTACGTGTTTCCATTAATCAATTGATTAAGGTGTAAGCATCTTGTTTTAGGATCGAAGAGCTGGGAGGGAGCCAGGGCGTGCACATCAAGACAGTCCAAAGGGTGGATCGAAGGAGAAGCACCAGACAGAGTCAGGTGACAACAGTGGGTGTGAAAGTGGAGTTCATGCCGATGGTTCATGATGGAGAAAGGAAGGATTTCAAGAAGAAAAACAGTGAAAATTATCCAACTCAAATAATAGTTGAACTGGCACATTTCTACCATTTGGCTGTCTCTCTATATTGAAGGTGGCCTCCACACATCCTTCCATACTAGTGTTGCCCAACCTTCTGTGTAGCTGCTAATGTTTACAGCAGCACAATTTAAGTATAGCTTTATAAATGATTTCAACCATACTTCTCAATTGCTTTCTTCTCTAGATTAAGAGAGGGTATAAAGGGTGAGCCATAATTTGTATTTGTGAATGACTTATTGTATTTTAGTCGATCCTATTTAATGGAAGATCATATCAGTTCTTTGCTACAAGTCTCTTTCTGTGTTTTAGACAATGTTTTTATTAAATTCTCTGCCATTTTATTCACATCCCGTATCTATCCCTCTTTCTTTTGCTAGTCTTAAAGCTTCTATAGCTCAAATTCTACTACTGTTGATGAACTCTCTGTCATATAACACAAATATATAACCAGACCGTCTATTGAGAACTTTGAAATCTAGAATTTGGATGATTTTTATTATCAATTAGAAGAAAAGACCTACATTTTTTTTTTTGTAGATTGTAATGCTGTACTTTTGGCAGATAACTACTCTTGCGGCTTGGTGGTATAGAGGACAAACTGCTCAATTTCATCACATTCAACGACAATGAAATATGGCTATAAATTCCCATGTGATCGAGAAATGGTGACGCGGATGACTTCTATGCTAAGTGGGTAGGGAGATTGATCATTAATGGAGGTCCCTCCAGTAACATGATGGCTAGTCCTCTCTGCGTAGATAGAGGATTTCCTACGGGTTGAAAAAGCATGACAGCTGGGAATGTAAACATGTCTTGGAATCTTTGGACCCTAAGTTAGCTGGTCCTGCCCTGGGAAGAAAGGCACAAGGAGGCCTTTATTGTTTTGAGGTTTTGGCTGTAGTGAAGGACAGTCTAGTTCCGGATGCTACTGAAAAATTTTCAAATATATGCTGTTTTGTTTTACCTCTCGCATGCGACCAATTATTTCTATGACTGATGTTACTCAATACTCAATGGGTTACGGTTGAATAACTTTGTTGTTACACCAAGATCCGTCTTCAAAATTTATCAAGGTCCAAAAGAAACCATCTCCCTACAGGATTGTGGACTGATGTGTTTCATTTTGTTTTTGACTTAGTTTGCATGTGCCCCATTGGCCATGCAGCTTTTTTGATGCAATGGCTATTCTCACTCATTGAATAAAATTAACCTTTTTACTAGCAATGATGGTTTGTAGGTGAACACTGTTCAGGTTGGTGTGAGAAATTATCAGTCCATACAGAGCATCAAGTACATTACCCCCCTTTTGCAAGGTTATTGTGTTTGGAGTTGACTGCAGTGTCAAATATTTTTTTTTTCCTGATATTGTATCTTCACTTATGAATTTTTTTATGATTATTGTAGTATCTAAAAAAATGGTAAATATAATTATCATAATAGTAATAAAAATATCCATAAATATGATAAACTATTTACAAAAGTGATAACTTTTTTTGTATGATAAAAAAAAATAATAAAAATAGTTACCATAAATGTGATAAAAATAACTACAACAGTGATAAAAATACTTACAAAAGTTATAAAATACCCATAAAAATAATAAATTTTTTAGTTATAAATTAACTCACAAAAATTATAAAAATACCTTTTAATATAGTAATAAATTATGGAGATATGGTGCAATTTTTTATTTTTTTTTTTGATATCAAAGTCAAATTTTTATTTTTTGGGTACGCATACACATTGATTTGGAACCTTTAGCATCAGTGTGACTTGGCAACTCATTATGACTAAAGGAAAGGGAGAACTTAATTCTAATTTAATTCATTATGGTCGAATTAATTATGAATTTAAATATTAAATATAGTCACTTTTAATTTAATAATTATAATTGATTGAGTAATGTTATTTTAACTTAATTTATTAACTTAATTCATTGCAATCAATCTAATATTAAATGAAGCCTACTATCAATCTACCAGTTGAAATAAATTTGGTTAATATATTATGTTAATAAATTATATCTGAATAACATTATTGTAATTAATTAGATCTTTAAAGGTACAAATAGCATTTTCCATGATTGTATCACCTCCGACCGAAATAGATATCCTGATTGGCGTTCTAGATTAAAATTTTGTCCAACCCATAGATGTAGTTTAGTAGCTAAACTTGACTTTTGATGACTTATAGGTCTTAGATTCAATACTTTAAACCCTTGTTTCCTCGTGAGACATGTTCTAAATTCGCTCAAATTATGGTAACTAGCATCTGAGCTTGAGGGAATTATCAGTGCCAGGTTGAACATACTTGTAATAAAAAAAAAATAGAGTTTTCCTAAACAATAATGTATACTTTGCTCAACTTTGTATTTAGCAGTGTTGTTAAACTCCATTCGGACGAATGGGTCAATCCAATCTCTAAACTCAGTTGGATTAACATTTAGATCGTTTCTATGATAAACTGTTCATGTCCTGAATAATCGTGTTAATAGAACAAGTGAGTCATTAACCAGGTGGTGAGATTAAAATTGGAAATGTAAATTTTACTTTCATAAGTTGTCTTGGATGCATTATGGACATGCTTAATATTTTATTTTATATTTATCTCAAGCACTTGACCTACATAGATTTTCAAAGTTACAGAATATTTATGATTATTTTAATTATTTCTTATATTTTTTTCCAGTCCGATTGTTTAATAAAACAGATGAACCAGTGACCTATTGATTCGATTTTTTTGATATTTATCTCATGTATAAGACAATATAGTCCACACTGTCAATGAACCTGATGTGGATTTATCATTGCAAACAAGGGTAGGACTATGTCTGGGTGGCTTGGGAAATGCAGTATCTCTGGGAAAACCCATATGCTTGAAAGAAACAAATCAATAGGCACATGCACTAAGTCTCATTCAGGTGGTTGGCTTCTGTATGTAGAGTCTTAACTCTTTTATGTTCTACCATGGCCAAAGAATGGACAGTCTTCCTCCTGCTGCTTTACCTCAAAACACACAAGTTTGCAATTTTCATGGAAAGGGTTGAGTCAGCTGATCCTGCAAAATCTGTTCGTTCTTTTTACTCTCACAGACAATCAGAACTTCATATGTATTCGAATCCTACTGGGTTGTTCGCAATGGAATTATCCAGTGGATAATTTTTCAATTGCCCTACATAATACGTACTCAGTAGGGATTTTATAACCGCAGCTGATTAAGTTGCAGGTCCGTGTTGTCATGGTTTATTGGTCCACAGATTGCTAGAAAAAAGACAATAAACCAATCAATTTTCCATCTAATGCTTGATATGCTGATTTTTCACTGGAGGAAGCACAGGTTAGGAAGCTGTGTGCACGGAAATTTAACCTTAGACAACATCTAAAACACACCAAATGACAGAATTGGCTCGTATATTATTGACTTTTGTATACAAAAATTGGAAAAATACAAGACTCAACAAGCGAAACAAGTGGCCCATCTGTCATTTTTAAAAAAAAAAACAACCGTGTGGTTTAGAAAAAATAAGAGGATCTGTAATCAATTAGAAGCAGAGTAATAGCATTGTGGTAAAGAATGTCCCTATCAGCCAATGTAGCTGGACTGCCCTGGTAGTTAAAGAATCATTGCCCGGTCCTTGTGGTGTTCCCGGTGCTCCAGGTAACAGCGCTGCTGGTGGTGGAGGTGAAAGCAAAGGTACATCACACGTGCCAAATGTCGCATTTGCCTGCTCATATTTATAAAAAAAATATTAGTCAACCAACAGATTAAGTTGAAGCATTATAGCTTCTTATTTTTATTTCGGACTTCTGATTTCTTCTCATTTAATCCGCACTAGGGATGGCAATATAATGAACAAGTACCATATATCATCAGTCCCAGTTACTATGCATGCATAAAAAAGATCAGCTGATAGTGGTCTAGATGCAAATGGAGTAGGTATGGCGATAAAGTATCAGGGGTTAGAGACCGTAAATAAATAATTTATTTAAGGCAGGTGCTAGTGCCATGATAGTTCAACTGCTCTGCACATTTGTTTTTCTTTTCATCACCTTAACATCGAATTTAAAAAGAGTTCGAAAGTATTTTTAAACTTTCAAGTGACTCAGCCTGAGCACGCTTCACAAAAATAACACAAAAAATTGGCATGCATTAAGAGCAGGACATATTTTTGCTTTTTTTTTTTTTGTGTTTGTGTTGGGGGGGGGGGGGGGTGGATGGGCATTAATGACAAAAGGGAAATAAGTTTTGGCTTGATAATTCAGCATTTTTGCAGATAAATTTGGAAGATGGCAAACAATCGGCAGAAAACCAAAATTTGAGCTATATTGGCCAGGTAAAAGGAGGAAAATAACGTCATTTAATAAAATCATTCGAAAAAATGTTGTTGACCTGTTAAGCTGACTGCTTATTTGTTCAGTATTGTGCTAATGACCACCAGGGAGAAATTAATAGCAACAAACCTTGCAATAGGCAATGCTGTCACAACCACAGGTTAGTTGACCATTTGCTTTGTCCACAGCTTCTGGAGCTCCTCCACCATCACTCCTCTGCCACAGCAAACCCGGGAAGTGAGGAAAAACAATGTTATTTTGATATGTGCCTCAAACTTACATCCTAAACGCAAATAGGATATGATTCAGTTGAAAGGATCTATGAAGTATGCATCAATCCATACCTGGTAAAAGTCGACAGCGATGAAATTTGGCCACCGTTTTCCAGCAGCTGCATAACAAGTGCTTGTCATACTAAGTAATGAAGCAGAATTATCAACGCAAACCTCTGTTATATTGGGATTATCAGGAAAGTAGTTCTCAAGAAACAGGGAAATTGTTGATGTGTTCAAGGGAGGTGATTCGGAACGATTTGGACAGGAACCATTCTTCATCCCACCATCTCCATCTGCAATCAGCTCAAGATCAAAATTGAATCTTCATATCTAACTCAATTGTAAGGAAAATAATTAGTTTTGACTAATCCCCTGCACACGTATTGTTGATAATAATGGAGAAAACATTAATGAGTCCAGATATGGTGATCTAAAATGTAAAATACTATTTCCAATTTTTTGCACGCATGGTACTTCTGCCCTTTGTCACTTCATCGCGCAGATTGAAGTAGCTGCCATTGGACGTCTTCTGATAAAGATGTTCAAGATGCTGTCTTATGTTGAGAACATGTCAACATACTACTTAAATTGGAGTGAAAAATGAAACTTACACTGGTTTTCTACTACATATCGCCACTCATAAGCAATCCCCTCTGAAGCTTCTTTAGATGATATAGAGGTGAAGACTACCAAGCGTTGATTCTGCTGCACCATATCATCCACTGTAGGCCAATCTTCCCCACTTTTGGGCATCCTTGACACTGGAAACCAGTATTTACTGAGGCCAGAAGCATTAAAGACTTTTGTCAAGCCCTGTGGCGACGTCACATAATCCTCGATAAAAATGGTAACAATTTCGGTGGGGTTGGCTTCCAAAAATACTTGAATTTCTTTCAGAACAGTAATAGCAGGTTGCTGGAAAAAAATATGCCCATAATCAACTACAAGAAAAACCACAATTGAAAACTACGTAGTCAATCACTGCTGAAACACTTACAAATGCTGTGACATTGTAACATTTGCCACCAAAGGAGTGACACAACCAGATGTCATTGTTGAAGTCATACATATCAAGCATGAGTCCTCGAACACCACTCTACGAATCAAACAAATCTTTCAGCATGCCATTTTTATTGAGTCTAATCATGCTTTGCCTGAATATAAAATATTTGAAGGTTTAAAAATGCCACTTAAAGAACTTGTAAATAAGCTTTTCACAATTTTCCCCAGTGAATGTAAGTCTGTAAGATTGACATGGATGAAAAATACTCAAAAATGGACAAAACCATCGACAGAGGAGCATCAGGCCTTCCAGCTCTAACTACAGTTGGTTCCAAACAACAGCTGTGGTTTATATTAATGTAACAGCGTCTGATCAATGCAATTTTTTACTTGAAAAAAATTTAATACAAGTGCAAGGATTGGCTTGAAATGATTTCAATATAGTCTCAAAACATACATTGACAAGCAAAAAATGTTGAATGATACAGGTGGGTAAAACAGAAAGGTTGCTTATTTTCTAACCAAAGCAAACATGATGGGCAATAATTTCTAAGCATCCCATCACTTGTTCCTTCAAGTTCAAAAAAGCAAAATACCACATTAATAATACCCAACTCTGTTCATATGGGTTCCAGATGATCAGCATCACGGATTCTTTAGCTCACTAACCCAAAAGATAATAGGATCACTACAAAATACTCGTGTCCGATTCCTTCTGTCAATTGAGCAAACAGAACTTGTGCAACTTACATGACAAATCAAACAAGTAGTTGCAGAAGTGATTCTTCCGGCAAAGACAACAATTTTCAAGCGAAACAGAGTTTTGAAATCTTACTTGGAGTTGGTTGGTAATGGAATCTTCCTGATTGGTGGGAGCAAGAATAACAGAGCCCGTGGCCGACGTTGACCCAGACATAGCATACGAATTGTGCGTCGTCAGCCATGAGTACCGATTAAAAGGCAGACCTTTTACCTAATCAATTCACAAAGATATACCAATCAAAAAATAGATAACATATGCATTATATATCTATCTTTCTATCTGGATGTGTGTAGATATTGGCGTCACCATTGATGAGGCACTGAGGGGTTGAATGCGAATACATCTGGGGCGGGTGTTGCCATTGGCAGGGCATGTTCCACAGGTTAAGCCGGCGTTACAGTTATTGGGGGAAGAGGAACAGGTTTCCCCGATCTGTTACCAAACCAAACATCTCAAATTTAAGCAATAAGTTATGAAAGAGAATGAAAATACAAACTTGAAGAGATCATTAATCGAATTTATGATAAATGAGGGGGTAATATATAAATGATCCAAATCAGTTACATAATTGCAAAAAAAAAAAAAAGGGAAATTAAAACCTGTAGGCCAGACGAGAAGCCAAGGAGACAAACTGTGAGAAAGATAAGTTTGATGGGAAGAAAAGAATTGGTACCCTGCAAAGCAAATGATGAAGAGAAGAACATGACAGCGTCAGAGTTTTATAGTAATTGCAAAATACGTGAAAAGAAAACCTTAGTTATGGGTGTTACATGCCTGCATTTCGGGCTTTTCCCTGTACTTTTAGGTTTTTTTTTTTTTTTTTGGGGGGGGGGGGGGGGGAGAAAGAGAGAAAGAGAGAGAGGACGTCTGTCTGTCTCTAATGCTGTTGTGGTATTTAAATTAGGGTTGGTTTAAGGTGGTTGTCTTTGTCTGGGTTTTTTCCGGGAAAATATGGATATGGACATCGAAAGTCAGAGTTCAGACCGTTTCTTCTCAGAGGGAAACGAGTAGGAGAGACTTTCCATATCTCGTCACATATATAAATGGAGCAGTTATTCTTAGGCTTTTACTATTTTTTTAGTCTAATTGTATGTAATATTACATTTAATAAATTAAATTATCAACTACTAGAAATACAACAATTAAGATTAATTTTATTTTTATCTATTTTGATTTAAAAATTTAATAATACAAAATTTATTCCAATTTTTTTCTCAAAAACATTATTTTCTTTGCACGATGCTCAATGTTAATCAATTCAACTAATTTATTCTTGGATAAATTATATTCACACCCTTTGATATTTAATTTTATTACATAGATATCCCTCATATTTAAAAAATTATACTGAGACCCAAATAGTTAGACAGACTTAACTATCTTTATAGAAAGACTATTTTTGCCACTCTCTTTAACACAAACTCAAACCCAAACCCAAACCCCAACCCCAAGCCTTATCCTTAATCTCAACCCTAATTTTCGTTGTCCTCTGCACCCAGCGTTCCCAACGCCTTCTCTCTAACTCTCTTTCTATCTCTTTCAGGACGAAGAACCAGCCTCAAATCATTAGTCTTCTCTTTCTCCTTCACTCTTTCTCTTATCTGTATATATAACTTAAAAATTTTAAGAAATCAAAAGGACAACGATGGTTTTTGGGGTTTTGATTTTGATAGCAGTAGTTGTTAGGTTGTGTGTGTGGTGTGGTTGAGGAGGTGGTTGTGGAGATGAAAATGGAGATGGATGGGGTTACTTTGTTACTGGGCAATGGTGGTGCTTTATGCATGCGTGTGAAGAGAGAAAGAGAAAGATAGGAGGAGGAGGAGGAGGGGTTTCCATGAGGTGTGGAGGCGACGATTGGTGGTGGTTTATGTGGTGTGGGAACGGTGGACCACAAGTGATGGTGTTAATGGTGGATATGGGGGCAAATTTAGATTGATAAAGGGAATTTACATTAATATATTGTATAATAAACACAAAATTTTAGTATTTAACATATTAATTTGATAAATTGTGAAATTAAACATTTAATTAGAAAAATTTTAGTTTATATATGAAATATGAAATATAAAATATAAAATAGAGAAATGATAAATGGTAAATGAGAGATGAGATAAATTTTGGGGGCAAGAAGAATAAATATTTGAATTTTTAAACTTAATTTTGAAGGATATTTTTGGTATTTCACAAATTATTATCGATGACATTAGTTTTGACCGTGAACCATTCTAACATCTATTAGTTGGAGTGCGTGTAGTTGTTATAATGTTTAAATGTCTAGGGAGTTTTGTATAATTTTTGACATGTGAGGGGTTTCCGTGTAATAAAATCAAATGTCAAGGGTGTGTGAATATAATTTATCCTACATTCTTTAATGGGAAACAATCTCACTAATCAACGCCTATCTCTTTTTCTGGCTCTTTTCTCTCTGTTCATTTTAATTTTAAATTGAGTGATTAAAAAAAATAAAAATAAATTACAATATACGATAAATGTTTAATTTTTTGTATTAAAGAATATTTTCAGGTACAAAATTATTACTAATACATATATAGGTCACATATATGTGATATTTTCTTTTGAGTAATGTTATTTGGGCATAAAAGTGTAATCTAGTATTTTAAAGTCTAATGTCATTGTTGTTGCTGTAATTGTTGGTTTTTTTTATTAAACTTCTATCACTTGATCTCATTAGGTCAAAGTAATTAAGTCAAATTTTTAGGTATTTTTATTTTTTTCCTCAATAGAGAGAGATGTCAAAGAAAAGCTTCTAAATTTTGAATTGTCCAAGCCTCCTGCTGTGTTTCTAGATAGGTTTAAATGAGTGGAAAAATTCAAAGAGAAGAAAAAAAAACAGAAAAAACTCAAGTTTGACAGTCCAAACCCAGCCCACCAATCTCATCTATTTTTTGCCCACGATAGTTTGCTTTTTGATCTTTTCAAGGCTTCTAGTTCTGGGGCAATTGCTATTATATGAGGTGGCTTTGGGATATCAAGTCAGCTTTGAAAGATTGGCGATGGTGTGCAGTAAGAATGTTCCACGGATTAGGGTTGAGGTTACGCAAGCTATTCCAGATTTTGGAGGGGACAAAAGGTGGGGGAGAGGAAGATATATTGGGTTAAATGTGATGGGTTAAGTCCAATAGTCCAGTTTATATGTTAAAGTCCAACCCCAGTTGAGGAGCCCAACCTCATTTTTATTCCACCAAGCCCAAGACAGTCCAAGACCGGTTAGACTTTTTGCTTAACACGTCACCAAGAGGAGAGCATGGGAAACTTATCTGCACCACCGAAAGAAACGGTCCAATCTTTGACCACGTTTCATGAAGAGCTCCCCAACCTCCTCCTTCCGTTGAGGATAAGTCGTGATCTCCATCAGAATAATCTCTTAGCTGTGATAAAGAAGCCTTGAGGATAAGTCGTGATCTTCACCAAGAATAATCTCTTAGCTGCGATAAAGAAGTCTTGAGGATAAGTCATGATCTCCACAAGAATGATTTCTTAGCTACTATAAAATAACTCCAATCTGGTAGAAGAGGGAGGAAGGTCACGCCCCACCAACACTTACAGAGGACAGACCGACGACCGGAGACCACTGCTTCTTTGATTCTCCATTCTCTCAAAGCTTGTATCTCTATTCTCCATACCTTTGAATTAATAAAATACCCGGCAACTGAAGCCATTAAAGAGTGGACGTAGGTCGAATTGACCGAACCACTATAAATCGTGTCTTCTTTAATTTTCTCATTGATTTCACTGCATTTATTACCTACACTTGACAGGTGGTGTGCAAAACTATTTTTGTGCATCATCAGTTTGGCGCCGTCTGTGGAATCGACAAAATTCTCACTCCTGAACATTACATCCATTAACTAATGGCGATCACTACTCGATCCATGAACCAACACGAAGACAATCCTCCACGAGAGGAGGAGGTTGCTCACCCGCCTATCAACCCTGTTTCGGATACTCTAGCCCCGAATCCCCAACAAATATTGGAGACCATGCAACAACTGGTTGCTCAAAACCAACAGTTACTGCAACTCATACTTGCTGGACAAGGAGGAGCACCACACGGAGGTGCACGACATGGAGGACACCAAGGTGGAGCACCACACGGAGGTGCATAACGTGGAGCACCACATGGAAATGCACAATATGGAGGGCCCCACGGAGGTGCACAACATAGAGCACCCCAGGGAGCTCCACGTCCTGGACATCAAGGAGCACCACGCCCTGTTGCTCCACGCCCGGGCGCCCCATTGGGCACCCCACTTCGGGAAGCCCAACATGAGGGAGCTGCACCTCCCCCTCCCCTTGCTTCCCAGTGAGAGGACCCTTATCTCCAGGAGGATGAGGGTGAAAACCAAAGCATGGAGCATGGAAGCCACTTCCATGATCATTCCAGAGGAGCCCCCAATCATTGGGACGAAAAGATAAAGGAGGTACAGAATCAACTCGGTGATGTCTTAAACGCCATGAAGGCACAGGGACCCGAGACTATTGACCACCTGGTAAGGCGTACTGATACGCCTTTCAAACCTGATGTAGCAAACTACCCCCTCCCTCAGAAGTTCAAAATGCCATCTGTGGAGACCTTTGATGGAACAAAGGATCCACTGGACCACCTCGACACTTACAAGACCTTGATGCAATTGCACAACGTACCAGATGAAATCATGTGCAGGGCATTCCCAACCACGTTAAAGGGTCTGCCCGACAGTGGTTTGCTAAGCTCTCCCCCGCCTCTATTTCCTCTTTTGCCGAGCTTAGCAGATCATTCGTCTCACACTTCATTGGAGGGCGTCGCCACCAGAAGCCAGTTACGCACCTGCTTAGTATAAAGCAGGACCGCGAGGAGAGCCTGAGGAGTTACCTCACTCATTTTAACGAGGAGGTACTCCAAGTTGATGAACCCGACGACAAGGTGACGATGACCGCCTTCTTGGGTGGCCTCCGTTCATCAAGCTTCCTTTTCTCAGTTCTGAAGCGTCCACCGAAGAGCATGCCAGAGCTGCTAGCCAAGGCCCAAAAGTACATAAACGCAGAAGACATCACAAGGGCCAGGCGGGGTGAGTCTTCCAGAGCAGGGGATAAAA